AACATAAGAGTTTGGACCAAGTTGCGAAGCTTCATTATCACGCCCGGTTGAATCGAAGTGTATTCGTAAGCAGAAAGGCATTTCAAGTGCAAGCCACGCGGCAACGCCGCGTCGAACTTCCCGAGTTCTATTTTCATAGCTATCGACTAATTAGTCTGTTGCGTTCGTGTGCTACGAATATCTTCTCATTGATCTCTTTAGTTTAGTTGCCATTGGTTATATTTGCGGCAAGCGGTTAACCTTTCTCTCCTTTTGAGGAAAAAGAAAAACACTTTTTTTTTTCTGCAGGACAGGTGTTTTTGGTAGGCTTGTGTGAATAGTGAATTTTAGGTTCGAAGCGAATTGTGATTTTGGTCGAATAATTTTTGAATCGACTGGCATGTATGACATCTTAAAAAATGGGAATATTTATCATGACCAAACTAGCCTGCACAATATTTTTATTGAAATAAGGCTACATGCTAATTTCATTTTTCTTTTCATTAAAGAAAGTGGAAACCACCTTAAGTAGTAGTGGGATTGGGAGTTTCGGTGGGATGCGAGCGATAATCTGTAAAATATGTAACATTTTAAAGTTTATTATGCTTAGCGCATGTTAGCCATCATGAAAAGCTTTTAAGCTCAGTAAAAGGATGAATTGTTTATAGGTAATATGTTGATTTAAAGGGGCACTGCAAGACTTCTTCAAGTAGCCATAAAATGGATTCACTAAAGAAGCTTATTGCCTCACGAATGCACCACGGCAAAATATTTAGGATACGTCCAGTACGAGCGGATTTCCAAAGATTTGTCACACGCTGCAATTTCATTCTCTCTCTTCGTCTCGACGAAAGAGCTGGAAGCTAAGCAGGGAGGGATGGCACGGGGAAAGAAAATACGTCACGCGCGACTCGTGACTTTGAGCACTTTTTCCTTATTTTCTTCTTCGAGTACGCGGCCTTTCAGTGCGATAGCGCATGCACGCGTGGAACAAGTGGCAGCCCCAAAAGGCGGCTCAAATAACGACCAAGCACACCATGCTCGAATCAGCCAGTGACTCTGACAAGTGATTTTTGAGCTTGCAGTCTCTTTTCCCATTTTCCAAGAGAACAATTGTTAGTTAAATTTACGAATTTATTGTAAATTGGCAGCAGCGTGCAGCGTTACAATATTTGGCTCGCGTGTTCTCGGTAGCCTCGACAACCGATCGGCAGCTCAATAACTGCTCATTAAGTGTTGCAGGACCCTCTTAGATTTGAAGGGGGGCTTCACGGCGGAGCGGATTGCCCCTGATTAAGTGCTTTCACGGTTCAACAGTTTAACATTGCAGTGAAACCATCTTTGCAAGTAAATACATGCCGATTAATATATGCATTCATACGTTCATTACGAATACTTCGTAAATTTCAAGATTTCAAATTCAAATCAAAGCGAATTTGAATACTCTGGTATTATTTCGAATATTCGAAGCATTCGAATATTCGAACAAGCCTAGTTTTAGAGGCGAAACTCCTTAGGACCTAGCCTTTGTTTCCGCTGTGGTTTCTATCCTCGAAACATATGAGTGACTGACACACACACACCCACACCCAAACACAAACACACACACACACACACACACACACACACACACACACACACACACACACACACACACTATAAAATGGGTTTGCAATAGACTTCAACGTAGACATGGGCTAATTATAGTGTAAGAGAGCGCCGTTCCTAGCGAAAGTAATTTTTCTAGAAGAGTATTGATGAGTTGATCTCTAGGCTTCTCAAGTAACCCATTAACGCAAAGGCACACGCCGACCACTGTATGTGCCAATAAATTACCCAGATTAAATTCTTTCTTGCCACCAGTGAAATGGCGGGATTTTGCATTCACTTTCGAGGCATATCCTCCACCCCAGCAATTTCCCAAATCCGCCCTGGATTGCCTGAGACGACTGGGAGGCGAAATAACTTTACATTTGTATATACACCTCATGTCACTCAACTTTCGTTACATGGGGCGACGTTCGGGTAACGTACGGTTACTCACCGATACGATGCCCACAGCTGCACCCGCTAGTCATGATTCACTTGGTGGAGATGAATGGATTTTTTTTACTGTTTATTTTTCAAGGCATAACAATGGATGGGTTACAGTACGCGCGTGCCGTTTAGACAAGTTTTGGTAGTTCAAACTGAACACTACGTTTTCACGATGCTGTCACTTAGTAATAACAAACAGCTGCTGCATACTGAGAATATCAGAGTAGCGCCTCGTCCGGCTGAGACACTATGCCGCTCTGCCACAAGACATTCATGTTTGCGGTGAAACATCGGCTGCCACTTAAGACAATACAGTTTTATAGACGTGTTCCCGATGAAAATATTTTATTATTTATTTATTTATTTATCTGAACAGCAAAATGACAACAGATATGGCGCACTTATCACACGCTTCAGACAACTCTAAGTTCATCATAGCGTAGACTGTTTCCCAGCGGCACTGCTGCCACCGACTGATTTACCATCGGAGGATTACGAGCGACGGTATCTCGCTAAATCACATCCAACGTAAACAGCGTAACACACAAAGGGGAAAATCCTGAACGCTTTGCTCTTCGCCGTTGTGACCCAGCGTCACATGAAATGCTAGTCGCAACACAAGTCCCCGTGTTTTCACGTTTGAGTGGGATAGCTTCGATCGCCAAGCAACGAGCCGAATACCGCCCACTTCAACGCGCCGTGCGCACACAAAGAATCGAGCAAATCTCTTCAGAACGGCGGTCCGAAGCTATATCGGCACACAACCATGCACGCTGGGTGCCCGCACTACATGTAAACAACCGCCTGCGCATCGGAGAGCGAAATGGGGCCGAATAACCCGCTACTACACAGCTGCGCTGCGGTCGTACGATCGCCAAGCGACGTAGGCGTTCGCGTTTCCGACCAGAGAGGGGAGAGAAACTTCGCGCCACCGCAAACGACAACGAACTCGTACGCGGTCCCGCGCAGTGCGGACGATTAGGGAAAGAAGAAAACGCGCTCAAAAAGCGCCGCATAATAACGAAGCGACGGCCATCGACGGCAGTTGTAAACAACATCCAGCCGACGAAACACGCCCACACCGTCGGTCGGGCGGAAGGCGTGCGTGGTGAGCGCGCGTCCCTCCGTCGTCGTTCTCGCTCCGTCCACCCCGAAGCTTCTCCTCCTCTCTCCCTTCTTTTACATTTTCCCGCGCTTCTCGGCCCGTCTCTTCCCGAGCCCTCGCCGCGTATCGAATTCACTTTCTCCATCGCCTTCTTTCTCCTTCTCTGACGACGACCAGCCATTTGGCCTCGGGGAAAAAAAAAGAGGAGCCGCTCGGGCAGAGACACAAAAGGAGGCGCCCGAGGGGCAGAGAGCGCAAAATAAAACGCCGCCGCGTCAACAGGAAATGCCAGACCGCACCCGAGACGCTCAGCCGTGGTCTCGACCGGGCATCTTATTTCTTTTTTTTCTTTTCGCGGTGTAATACCGCTCCGTTTCGCAGGTCGTGCCTTACTTCGCGCTCGCCAGGAACACTGAAGGGAAAGGAGCACATTGCGCGCATGAAAAGTCCTCGCGCCTTTCGACACGCCTTTGCCGAGGTCCCCCCCCCCCCCCCCTCAGGTTGTTTTGTTTCCCACCTCGCACACCATATAATCTTTGCCTGCATTACCCGCCTAGCCCTCTCTCGCTCGCGAACAACCGCCGCAAGCCCGCCGGCCGATGTTCATCATCGTCGGGGGGTGGCGCCGGCGAAACAGAGGCAGCCGAGAAGCGATGGTGCGTTTCGGCGGAAGCATGACGACTGCCGCCGTGGCTTTTTCGGAGCGCCGCATAAAAACGCGTGCCGAATTTTTTCCCGGCCTTAATGGTGCCAACCCGACGCGCCAGCCTGTACGAGAATCCGCGGGAATGCGGCGGTAGCGCGCGCGAGTCGACGGACGCGTTCTGAAAGTTTTGGGGGCGTTCGCTCGTGACCACAACGCGTGACGCTTTCTTTTTTTTTTTCTTTCTTCGCCGGTGCGCGCGTCTGGGTCGAAGTGATGGTACGAAGCAGAAGGCGGTGTTGCCCATCCGAGCGTTGTTTACAATGCGAAGAATACTTCGGCACGAAGAGTTTCCCGCACAGAAATTGTTACAGCACTCATGCGAGAAGTGTTGGTATAATATTTATTGATTTGCCTATAAACGTCGTCCTACTTGCACCGAAGAACTCTTCAACACACGCAAAAAAGAAAAAAAATCGCGATTTTCGTGCATACACCCCGACACCTATAGCCCGCTAACGATAATAATAATACTATTAATTTCAAGGATACCCAGAAAGGTGTAAAGCTTCTCGAGCAACGTCTCGAGTTGTTCGTGAATAAAAATGAGACAAATCCGCGTAAAAAGCAGCAAACCCTTTTCACAATTGTAAAGCGAGCTTAGCTTACCTGCTATTCGGTTAGCCCAACTAATGGCGGCAAGTAACTGCAAACGCCGTGTTCAAGCGCAGTTTGATTTCGCTATGACACGGGATACCTATAATCGCCTCTGTCGAATGCCTATAACCCGTATATCTTGAGCTCTCTTGGCTTGCCTATTATACGCAGATTATAGTATGCTCACCCGGTGCCCCCTGTTTAAAGCCGTTCCACGCGCTTCCCGCACAGCCGCAACGCACGTGCCGGGACCGCTGCCGCACGTAGCGGGGGACAAATAAGCCAATTGAAGACGCTGCGGTGAGTGAAAGAGCGTCGCCAATTAACTTATTTGTTCCCCCCGCCCCCCCCTGCGTGCGGCAGGGGTCCCGGCACGTGTGTTGCGGCTGTGCGGAAAGCGCGTGGAACGGCCCTCACTTGATGGACGATAGGTGCCGCCAAAAGTTGGGCGAATACGCAGCGCAGGAAAGCACCCTTGCATATGAGACGAAAGGGTCTCTTCCAAGAGCTGACGCTGTACACTCGTGTTTCATGCACACAAGCGAATATTCGCGCGGATGACGTGTAGCGGATACTCACGAGCTGGCGGTCATTTGGAGGATGGAGTTGGAGAGCTGCAGGCAACTCATGCTGTTGAACGCGGCACCCCGGCCCACACCTCGGCTGGCTATGTAGTGTTCCTGAGAAAAGAAGAGAGATATATAAAATTACACACCACACATTCGTTCCGAACTGCTTCCTCTTACATAAACAACCTAGCATGTGTATGTATCGACCTATTGCATGTTTGTAAACAGCGGTATAGGCGCCGTCGACACACTGAAGCGCTTGCGGCGACGCCTTGGCGCACAGGCTCCGCCCCAGCCTAAATCTTGCCACTGTCTTCTGTGATCACGTGACAAATAGTAGAGCAGCTGCAAAGCTGCCTCCAAGAACAGCGCGTCGGGGAGCCTCCCGCGTTTTAACGATGAAAAGAAACATCTCTTATAGATGAGATGACCAAAACTGTGCGGACTACAGCGGACGCAGCCAATGCTAAGTTAATTAGATTAATTCTACTAGATAATAGAGACTATTTGATGCACCTTCCTTCTCCTTTTTCTTTTTAGAGCTCATGCGAATTTAATCGACGTTATCTTGTACACATCGAAAACGGTGATCTTAAAGAGTGAATGTAACTGCATCTTTTTTTTTCTTTTTTCAAACATGCCCACAACACAGGAAAAAAAAAAGGCCAGTCGTTCATTGTTTTGTCAACGTCCAGCATTGCCCTTAGTTTTCTGAAAACAGGCCCAACATCTCGGCTTTGCTGTCTGCTGCCGGTGTACTTGACGTGTTGCCGGTGTACTTCAAGCAATCAATCATTCGCCCACACGACACCCTTCGTCGACAGACAAAGACCTGCGCTTCCAGACGTCCTGTACTAAAGGCCTTCACATGTTCGTGGGTGAACGCGCAGCTTCACACTCTCTGACGTCACTGATGACGCCACACCGCCACGCACGTTCGACGTACACGGGCAAGCGTCAAAACCAACGTGTTAGATGCGAAAGGCATTTATCTTTCTGCGCAGCCCCAAAGGACAGCGGCACCGGAAAGGGCTTGTCGTGTACATTTAATATCCTCAAAAGGTTGCTTCCTGCGGTTTAACTCACAGCACTTTCATTTACTTATTTGTCCTTCTTCCAAAACTATATACCAGACAACATTATTGACATCTCTCGCATGTTTTCTGACCTTCACAAACAAGGCCTTAATCTGCCGCCAACCTGTAGATTTCTCTACGGCGTATCTTGACTGGTGAATAAACCGCGAATGCTGGTTAGCCGATCCCAACGTTCTCCTCACTTTTTTTTTTTTAACGGGAACGACGACCTAGAAACGAGCCCCTAGCCTAGCTCGCATACAGTGTTAAGCAGGCAAAACGTTTCGGCTAACAACAAAACCAACATCTAAAAAAATACTGGGTCGAGAGTAGATAGTACTAATTACATATTGCTACAGCGTATCACAGCTGTGTTCGATCGCAAGCTGATCAAATGGACGCAACATAATATTTCCATTTCCCTACGTAACATTGGCACCCTGCCACATAGAGCATTAGTTGTCCGCCACCGCCGCCGGTGTTCGTAACCAGCAACGCAAGAAATAGGGGAAAAAAAACTAAGTAAATAAAGAACACCAAGGACACAATGGGTTTCGAACTCGGATACGCTGCGTGTCAGCCCAGCATTCTACCACTGAACCACGCCGGCGCTTGGAACTCGTTTCTGATCCGGTCTTAGGCAGGCTTGGTGTCGGGGAAGGAATCGGGTTAATATATGAGTAATAAAGCGTCTTAGAACATAAAAAGGAACAACCAGGCGTCACACAATTCGAACTGCGCATAACGAGTAGGTCGTCCGATGCTCCAACCCGTTGGAACACTTGTTCTTGATCACGAAATTCGCACAAAATTCGTTGCCGCAATGTGTAGCGGAAACCGCGCTTCTCCTAAGAATGACGAATGATCTATAGCACAGTGAATGCTCGCCTACTACACACACAAAAAAAAAATCACAGCATATCCACGGAGTGAATGATGATGAGTGGGGGCGAAGCGTCCGTCAGCCCGTCCGCGCTTCTGTCCATCTGCGCGACCATCCGTACGTCAATCCATGCGTCCATCTAGTGAACACTCCAAGAACCGCCGTCTCTCATCTCGCAACCCCTGTGGCACATACCCACTCTAGAGCGGGTACGTACCACCGGTGGCTACGTACATACGTCCATGCATGCATACATATATACATACGGAGGAGGAGGAGGAGGAGGAGGAGCGACAGACCGACGCCATAAGGAGCTTCGCCCATAAAATTATGATTATTTATGGCGCAGTGGGTACCCAGCAAGTGTGCTTGTAGAAGTTATTCAAAGAGTTTGGAAAAGGCCGTGACAGGCCGCTCTTCCAACTTTCGCTGTGACTGTGCTGAGTGTTCCGCGCAGGCCTGACGTTCTTTTGCCGACCTACGCTGAATATACTGCTGCGCAAATATCGGTGCTGACGGCGTGATTAACTATTGTTTGCCGCCACCAATCGACCTTGTGGGCCAAGGCTTATTATACGGGGACGGTAAAAAGTTAGCGCGACTAACCCCCGCAAACTAAACCTTCGCAGGCAACGTGCTGCAGGCGGAGAGACCGACGAAGGGCGCACTGGGGAAGGAACCCGGTCGTTGGTATAGCTAAAGACTGCGCTCTCTGTGTACACCATCGCCAGCCAAGTTAAACAGCTGCACGCATTAAAAAAAAAAAAAACGCGTTTTGCGCAGAAAAAGACAGGCTTCGGGCTGAACAGGTATGTGCGCGATGTTTCGACGACCATAAGAAAGCCTTCACGGTGAAAAAGGCCGAAAAACAATCGACGAGTCAGCCCGACGACACGCAGGTTCAAAGGCTGTTGTAGTAAGTAACGCTAATATATGGGTTTTGTGCGCTATAAGAAACGATTATCAGACAGCAGTGTCTCATACTGCGGTAGAGGGCTCCGTAAATTTCGACCACTGACATCGCACAGCCCACGGGCCTCTAGAACTGCGCCCACTTCGAAAGGCGACCGCCACGGCCAGGATGGAGCCCACGACTTCCGGTTCAGCGGCCGCATATGCCAATTTGTACACTACAACAGAACCTAAAGAGCTAAAATATATTAAAATGGCGCCTCCAGCTCTTGTAGCCTGCTTTACCGAACGTTATCGACCAACAGTTAACATGTGAGAGCCCCCCCCCCCCCCCCCGAAAAGTTCTGGAATAGCTCGTAGACCGAGCAGAAGCGGATCAAGTCGGGTGCAAGATAGAGAGAACATTATGGCACCGAAGTTCCGTTCTTCGGTCGGAGGTTTGCAGAATTTCACAGCGCTGAATACCTGAATACGCAAGGCCCAAAATAGCAATCATATATATATGAGGCGTGATGACGTAGTGCATATGGGTCAATGCGCGTTATATCGAAAGCGAGAAGTACGCGCACATTCACACAGAGAGAGGTAGTAGTCGAAGCTGGAGGCGGCAGACGGAGGAAGAGCAATCCAAATCGCCACTGTGCCGCCTACTATAGCGACGCCATAAAGCTAAAACCACGGCTACTATAGCCACTGTAACCACGGCGGAAGCCATACGAAGAAGTACCAGACACACGCGCGGCACCCCTCGCTCACATCTCTCTCTCTCTCTCACTGTGTGTGCGCCTTGTTCCATTTATTCTTGCCGTGCTCTGCTTAGCAGTGTATCAACGCTTCATCCTGTGGAGGAACCCCAGACAGAGCTCGTTGGCCACCGAGCAAACGAAAAGCGAAAGCCGTGACTCCCTCTCCTGTAGCACCCGCACAGCCGCGACAGCGATGAAAGAGGAAGGCGCGAGAAAGGTTCACACCGGGGCCCGCGGCGAGAGAACGCCCGGAGCGTGGGCTGTGACTACGTCTCTGTCTGCTCCCCGAGCTCCCCCGGCCGGAAACAGGCGATTTGGCCGCATTCCGGCCACCCGCTCTGTGACAGCCACCGTGGCACGGGGACGACCTCAAGAAAGCAGCGGTGGCACGGATACCCGCCGACACGCAAGTTCGCTAGACTGAGCGAATGCGAGGAGAGAGAAGACCAGCGGATGACGAGGAAGGCAAGACCAGAACGGAACAACACTGGCCTGGAGAACAAGACGAAACGGGAGCGCGTGCGAGACAGCCGCCGACACTTGTAGACGAGGACACCATTTCGGGCGTCACATACCGCGAAGTTTACTTTCTCGCTACGAGCATGGCCGTTTTCTGTTTCTTTCTTTTTTAAAATAAAGAGCTTCACGTGCGCGGCCCCGAAACATCGGGGCCCTTTATATTTATTTATTCTGTTCTGCCGGGCGATGCGGCACACCGCTGAATGTGCCATGAACGCGTGGAACATTCAACCGTGTGCATTTACCATATGTATAGAGTGTACCTTTCAACTGTGTGCCGTTCGGGCCTTTGTTAGATAAGATCGAGCTCGTACGCTTCTTTCATTATGGTAGGTGGTGTCGATTAATATCCATTACCAGCCCACGAGACGGCTTCTTGCTCTCCCAGAGTAGAGTACCGGGTACTCTAAATCGTCAACAACTTTTTTCCAAACACACGGTTCCTTCGCAGATGAAAAGCTCGGCGAGATCGGTTCTATACGATATTCCGTGTTCGTTTGGCCGCCATCTTGGACTGAACTTTTATCCAGCAATGTTACGTGGTTGGATCGGTCGCATGTTCAGATTTACGATCGAAATATCGGCTCCTTGCTTACCGGAAATAAACAGTCGGTAGTCCGCGCGCGCGGTGCTCCGTGGATTTCTTACTTGTGTCGTCGTCCTCTCGCGCAGTTTATTAACATGTATACGATCCATCCCTGCGTGGGACAGCGACGGCTGCGGGAGAAGCATACATTTATCACTTGAAAGACACGGCGTCACCAAGTTGGCGTTCCTCCGGTATCTTGTTCCTTCTCGTTTGTAACCTCGCGCCACCTTTACTTTCACGGCACGCGTTTACTTTCACGTTGTAACCGACAGTAGTAATCTACTGGTGACTTGGCCGGAGGACGTCACGGCTAGCCTCTGCCTGGACGCCACAACCGGCAGCCTGAAGGCCGCCCGCAACGCTGTTTTTTTTTTTAATTTTTTAAT